ACTGCAGTAATGGCCTGGTCGAACTTGCACAAGTGCCAATTCAACATCCTGAAAACTGCCGGTCAAACATCCACATCAATCAACCCAGGTATGACGCCAAGATTTGCGAGAAGGAGGATGAGACAGGCATCAAGTACGACGCAAACAAGCCTCAATTCCCTGTGTTTGTATCAGAAAATGGACCCAGGAACCTCAACAAGTGGGGAAGCCTGAGAGGATACAAGTTCATGCCCAAGAGCGTGATGCACAACCTCATACCGGAGGGCGAGGGCTGGGGTGCCGGGCTAGGTGAGGCGAACGTGTGTCCCGCCACGCGGGGGCTGGGAGGAGGGGCGCAACAAAGGCGTGAAGAGGCCCAGGCTCAGTTTGGGCAGCTAGTCTGGCGCACAGCCCCTATTTGGCCGTCCCCTCTTGCATCTTCCCCGCCAACACTGCCGCTCTCCACCCCGCGCCGCCTGCCCGCCCCCCCCCCCTCACCAGGCTTTGCCAACTGGGGCTTCATCGCGACCGTCCGCAAGGACAACGAGCCCGACAGCAGCGTGATCTACTCCCAGGCCGACCTGGCCCACGCCCCGGTCCGGCTGCAGACCTTTGTTGATGGCGAGGCGGCGCGCAACCAGGACCTGGTTGCCTGGGTGTCCTCGGGCCTGTACCACATACCCATCTCCGAGGACGCGCCGGTCACGCCGACTGTTTACAACCACCTTGGGTTCATGCTGGTGCCGTTCAACTACCACAACGAGAACGCGGCCATGGACATGGCTGACCGGTTCCAGATCGACGACCAGGCGCCTGAGGAGCCGCCGGTGCAGCTGTACGCGTACACGGACCAGCCCAACAAGTACCAATGCATCCCCAGCTTTGACAAGGTCACTTTCAGCAAGGTTTGGGACGCAAACTAAGTCCTTGTTTGCGATTTGCGTTTGTTCTACTCTTTCAAGAGACTCCTGGCCGCTCCCTGATTGGTCGTCAGTGCACGATACAGCTGTCGACAACAACCCTTGCAATTTGTCACCTGTGCTGATGTTCTGGGGTCGCACTTCGTCCGAAAACAGCCGAAGACGGCGGGCGCGCCAGGTTGAGGGCTGCTGCTTTCTGTGTGAGGCGTGCAGGGCGGCTGTTGTTTGGGGAATGGTTGATACTCTTCCACACTCTCTTCCTGCGCTCGAGACCCTAGATGCTTGCACGCCATCCTGCAGTCAGATGCATGCGAGAAGCGGCCGAGCAGCCGTGGTTGCATGCCCCATTTGCGGGGTGGGCGCAGCGCGGTGCTGCCCTTGCGCATGCCTGCTGGCCCAGACCCGCGCCGTCACCCCTTGTCCTGGCGCGGCAGCAGTTTTCCAACCAGGAAAGCGACCGGCGGCTGCATGCCACCCCGCGTGCGTGTGTGGAGCGGCCCGCGAGCTGCCAGGGTGATGCTGCAATCCTCACTTGCTCACAAACGCTTGTAGAGCAGTATTCCTAGACCTCCCTTGAGGGCCGCTCTTTTAGCGCCTTGTGCAGGGAGTCGTGTGTTTTCCTGTCTGGTAGCAGCTTGCTGGCCGGCGGTCCGGTCAGCAGGTCAACATACACAGGAAGTGCCCCTTCAGTCATCCTAGGACAGTGGCTGATCCACGCCTTACTTGCGGCACCCAGTGTATGTTGTCGCTTATGACCTGATTTCCAGGCAGGCCTCAAGCGTATGGTAGCGCGCACATGCGCCCCCTGCCACATCCACCCACGGTTTCAGCAGCACACGAGGTAGAATGAAGTGACACGGGTTTGCCATGCGTCTTCAACGGGTGTCTTGTGATTGGTCACTGCGATATTCTTGTTCATGCAACAAAGGTGTCAACCTGCACACATGGCATACATCTTCCACTCAGCACGATTCTGGCATGTGCTGGGTGGGGTCGTGCTGACGCAAGGGAAAGAGTTGACTGTGAGCGGGAGACTACTACCGTAATGAGGCGCGCCATTCCGGGCGCTTGAATATTCTCACACAACCTGATCAGCTTTGTTGGTTTCGATGTCTCAGACGTCGGCTGCATTCAAGTTCAACAAGGAGCGCGCAGCACATGGTTGTTGAGTCATGTGCAGGACCCAACGCCGCAGGGATCGAGTACCTGTGGCAATGCACAGCATGACGATTAGTTAAGTTCCAAGCTACTTCAATAAAGTCTGCAAACGAACGAGTTTCTGCTTGATTCCTTCTACCGTACCGTAGATATCAGTTGGCCGCAAACCGTGTGCACTGCGCAGATGAGTGTAGGTGTCATTAGACTTTTTCATCGAAACGTGCGCTTCTTGCCGCTGTTGTCGCCGTCAGAGGCCAGGCGATCACTGGTTGCGCGGCCTGCGCGCTGCACAGCCGACCCAGGAGCCTTGCTTGGCATGGCAGGTTCAGGGTATCGACGAAATAAAGGGTCCTAGCATGGATTCAATAGCCGGGAGCTGGCGCTGCATGTGCCGCGGTGTCAGGTGAGGTGCCAAGCGGCAGTTGCGTTCGAGGCGACAAGCATGGTTGTGGTCGTTGTGCAAGCCAGGGCAGCGGCCCACCAATATTGGAGCACAGGCCTGCCTTTTGCCAAGTTGTGACTGCTTGTCTGCCTCAGGCGCCTGCGCTTCAAAGGTGCAGACTGCCGCTGGGTGTGGCGCCGGGCCTGCCGGTCACGTCGGCGCCCTGCGACCCTGCCCAGTCGGGACGATGTGTTGGGCTGAGGCTCTCTGGCCAAAAACGGATGCTGGGCTAGGTGCGCTGCTGAGACTAGTCACAGCCGAGGACCGGGAAGTGGCAGCATGTGGCGCTCCCGGCGGAGCAGCAACCTGTCACATTGGAAAGGGAGGTGTTTCCAACATGCAAGAGTGACGCTGCGGCGGCACCCCATTGGAGCCGCAGCAGCCTGGAGGCCTGCGCGACTAAGGTACTGGCTAATCATCTGCTGCATGCGCTTGCAGCCTTGCAACCCAGGTTCATGTGCAGCTGGCCAACGGACGTCGCATGGCTCAGTGAACATGCCAGCAGCATGCGCAGCCTGCTGCATGCGGGCATGGGACTGCACTTTCAAAGTGGCATCATACGGTGCGCCACGGTCATGCTTGGGTAGTGTGGTGTGACGCTCTGGCGAGCGGCGAGACGTGCTATCTTGGCCTCGTATCCGCAGCTGCAAGCGCTGCTGCCCTCCTTGCCGCAGGTCCCATCCACTGTGCGTTTGGAAATGGGCACCGCCTTTGCTACTGGTGACGGCGACAGCCTGTATTCAAGAGGTAGGCAGAGTCGTCGCTCGTGACTCTCAGTGTGCGTTTGTGTGGCAACGGGCGTTTGAGCGCCGTGCTCCCACCTGGGGCCTAAGGGATTCAAGAGCAGCCTTTCAGCATGTATTTTGGGCTCTCTTGGATATTTATGCCCTGGCGCAATCCACATTGGCATTGGTGCTCCGTTGACCCTGCACCAGCAGAGGCTGCGCGGGTCAAACACAGCATTTTGCAGCGTGCCCTTTGTGTACTTTCCGGCCTATTTGAAGGTTTTATAAGGCTGTTCTCTTCCATTTGCGCACAATCTGAGCCCTTGGTCGCCGAGTGCTGAGGGCTGTCAATCCCCGGGCGAGCAGCACGAGTTGGGTTGTCGATGATCGGGGCCGAGTAGACCGTAAATGGGTCGGTTATTGTCAAGTAGCTCGTAACTAAGTGATGATCATGGGCCTTATGGGAGCTTAGCCGCGCGGCGCTGATGCGGCGCACCCGGTGGCGTGCAGCCGACGTGTCCAGCCCTCGCGCCCGCGGCCATGGCAGGGGCCCAGGAAGTAAAGCAGGGGCATGAGGAGCTCCTGCTGGCCATCAAAGATGCCGAGGACGACAACCACGCCTGTCAGGTCCTGGTGGACGCCGCTGACTCGCAGTGCGGCACCCGGCGCATCCTGGATGCCGTGATGGTGCACTGGCAGCTGCAGGAGACTTGGCCCACCCCTGCAATGGTGGAAATCCCCGTTCCGCCAGGTAGGCAGGGGCGCAGCCAGGGCGCTGCAGCTGGGGCCGGCGCGGGCGTCGACGGCCTGGTCAAACGTCAGATCACCCTGATCACGCTGCTAGGCGGACGCGCCTCTCTGGTGCAAGTCCATCCTGCCCATGCGCTCAGCCTTGCCCACCAACCCTCTCCCCCCATTGCGCTCCTGGTTACATGCCACCCCAGGCACCCCAATTTTCAGCATAGGTGATACGCACGGCGACCCCAAGGCTGCTGTGTATGCGGCGCGCGTCTTCATGGCCGCGCTTGATGATGCCAAAGAGAGGGGCGGCCTGGCGCCTCTGCTGGCCTTCAACGGTGCGCAGATGGGCATGCCTCATGCCTCGGATGGCTACGAGCTACAGGGAACTGTTTGCTGGGTGGGATAGGGCAACTGAGCGAGCTGCAATCGAGCCGCCCCACTGTCGTGCGGGGTGCGGTGTGCGGGGAGCCGAGTGGGGACGCATGCATGTGCATGCATCGGGCGCCCTCGCATGCGCAGGTGCCCCGCGGCATGCGCTCCCCAGCGCCGCAGCGACCGGCCTGTGAACCCTCCGTGCGCTGCGCCGGCCCTCTGAGCGCACCCTTCACATCCCCAGCCAAACCATGCACGACCCCTCCCCGTGAGGACCCTCGAATTTGAAAACCACCCGCCTTTACCACAACACTGCTTACATATTGAAACCCAGGCGATTACCTGGACCGCGGGCCACATCAGCTGGCGACAGTCTTGCTGGTCCACGCCCTCGTCACGCAGTTTCCCCACAGCTTCGTGGCAGTCGCCGGCAACCACGAGGGCGCCATCCACAAGGGGCCCTTCCTCGCCGACGCCGCGCCCAACACGGCAGGGTACACGATCGTCCACGAGCTGCGGGCGCGCGGCTTCCGGAGCGCCGGCGAGGCGGCAGCAGGCCTGGGCGGCGGCGGCGGCGGCGGTAGCAGTGGTTTCGCAGCGCCGCCGGCGCCGGCAGAGTTCCCCAACCTCTGCCATGGAGGCGGGTTCGTCCGCGGCACCCTGCCGTGCCGCGGCCCGCTGGCGGCACGCATCGCGGCGGCGCTGGACGCGGGGCAGCTGCCGACGCTGGAGGATGGCCTGATGGCAATTTACGGTGGGCGGCTTGGGGGCTGGGAGTGTTGCAGTGGCTTGAGAGGGGCGGGCGTCGCGCCTGGCAAAGTGACGCAGGTCGTCGGGAAAGGGCACCGCTGGGACCATTTGTGTTGGGTCCGAGGGCAGCCATCAGTGGCGAGCCCCCTCACCGAGCAAGCCTGGGGGATTGGTGGTGATGCGATGTGCTTGCGGCTGCCAAATCTATCAACTGTTGCGCCGCCTGCTCGCCCGTTCCACCCTGCGGCTCCTCCCCATTCACTTCCTGCTTCACTTGTAAAACCTGCCGGTCTTGCAGGCAGCCTGGCGCACCTGCCGCTGATCGCCCAAGTGAGGCCCGGGCTGATCCCCACCGCGTCGGATCACGCTTGCCTCTAATTGGGCGCCACCTCACATCAGCCTACTTCCCGCTGTGCTCACGCAGACGGCCCCCTCTCTCCATAAGCGTTGTGCGCTGTCATTGACAGCCACCACCACCCTCAAGCAATCCTGGCAACCATCCCGGCCCCGGGCCCACCTCTTAAACCACTGCCCCAGGTGCCGGGTGCCGCCGTCTTTGTCCACGGCGGCCCGCCTCCAAGCGACGCATGCGCCAAGGGACCCGCCGTCGCTCTGGGGCGCCTCATGACCTGCTCCACGCGGTTCCGCTGGGCCGCGCTGGTCAGCCCGCTGGGGGACGTGCAGGTGTTGCAGCTCTACCCCCTTCTCAACGAGTTGGATGCATTGGCGCACCTCAGGGAGCTGCAGGGCAGTGGGTACCACCTTCTGCCCTTTGACGACTTCGTCGACCTGCTCACCAGGCTGCTGGCGCCCGGCCCCGCGCGCGCCGGCGCAGCGGCGGCCGCGGCCGCGGCGGCGCTGGCGACGGGACGCGGAATGAGCGCGGCAGTCGCACGCGCGGCGGCCACGCGCGCGGCCGCCGCG